GTCATTGCATTTACATTCAAAACAAAGCAGAAAGTTAGCAAGAAACTGTTTGAGCTGACAATTTTTTGCTTTCCATTCAACGATTTAAAAATTAACGGTTATTCTTTTAAAAGTCGACTATGAATTCTTTGTTTTGGTATGATTTGTTTTGTAATCGAGTGATTGGAAGAAGTTAATATGGCGACGTGAACGTGGGAGTAAATACCGTATACGTCGATCTGTGGCTTGTTTAAAACCGTAATAAACGAAGAAAGACGTGATATGAGAATGAAATGTAAGTTGAAATTAACTTTATATGCCTCAAATTTTCCATCCTATGTTTCTAAGTGTAACTTCAGCTGTCTAAGTTCAAAATACAACCTCGCGAAATTTGACAAATTTTGAAAATATGTAAAAATAGCTTGACTTTGAACTGTATTTTCTCAAAAATAGCCCGTGGCCTCAATTTTAAATATAGCTAAATGAAAAGAAAAACTTTTCGGCGTTTGTAGGTATCAAACATATCGTCAGGAAAATAGGGGCTCACAATGTTTTAGCTGAGTCTTTGAGACCCAGTTGCTTCGCACGTGTTGTGGTCAAATTTTTGCCAAGAATCAAAGGCCGAAATGTGAACTTCCTTCATGAAAACCGGCTCGAGAAGGGTCTAGTTTGAAAATTTAGCTATTAATTTCGATTTCATGAGCATATTTTGGTTACACGTTAAATATTTTTGTACTTGATGAGATTCAAATTTGTTGTATATTCAAGCCCGGCTTTAATGTAATTTTGGTGATGACCGGAACAGAAATAAAAATATTTTAAAAACTGGCCGTGGCCTCACGATAAAACTTTCTAAAAATGTTCTCTGTTTCATGTATTTTTATTTGATATCTTAGGTATAAGCGTAAAAATAGGGGCTCATACAGTTTACGAGGTTGTAAAATGCATTACTTGCCTCTATTTCCATGTAAACATTCGAAATTTTTCGACAGCAAAGTAGCAACTGTTCCAGATCGAATGCACACAGACAGCCCATCAGAGACAATGGCAGGGTACTGAAATAGAACGTCACTAAAAAATTCTGTATGATTAATTTAGATCATGTCCATTTTCAACATAAAACAGTCATTTATTTTGTACAAACATTTGGCAATATTTACACGATTGTGCCTTTTTGTAAACACGCGTTGCGTGTATTCCACTCAATTGCGTGACTCATTTTGCTCGCGCATGCTCAGACAAATTTCCCACCTGTTGCAAAAGCATACTTATAGATATACAAATAACAGCAAATCATTATACGATTTATTATGCGAATAACTAATGAATATAGTAATGCATGGTTGCACGCATATCAGTATAATAAACTACACGCGTACAAACCATAGGTATCTTATACAGTATACACTAGATAACCGCATCTCTTTTAGTAAAGTTGAATTCAGAAGCCAAGAGTATTCCAGCGGTTACTCGGTCTCCCATTTGAATAGATGGCGGCCATGTTGGAGTTTTGCACTCGCTAATAAACGCTTAAAAAACAACAATAACTTTCATCATTTGAATAGTTTGAAAATGTATTTGGAATAGGTTTAACTTAATGTTTAAGTTTCCTGTTTAAGAAATAGAAAACATACGAGTCTTCTCATTTCATGGGAATATCCTGAGTCTGCAATCACGGCTTCAATTTTTGAATTGCAGAATAATTAGATGCACTATCTAGTGTATATAAGATATCTATGGCTCGATCTATGGTACAAACGCACAAGTTGTAACAAACCTGCAGCAGACTTGTAGCAATGCTGTTCCAACAACTTGTCAACAGATGTTTTCGCACTGCTTGTTCCCAGCTTGTTGGCAAATTGTAAACGGCTTGTTGACAACTTGGTACCAGGTTGTTGAGTTCAACAGACTTGATACAAGTTGTTCCAACAACTCGTTATCGTCCTGCAATTCAACAACTTGTCAACAAGTTGTGAGTGACAAGCTTGTAGCAACTTGATAAAATAACAGCATTGTTACAACTTGTTGACAAGCTTGCTACAAGCCTGTTGCGAACACATCTTGTTGACAAGTTGTGAGATTTCTACGTGTGGAACAGGAACTGTTCCAAAATACCGTCTGCACTCCATTCTACCGGGTGTACTGTATAAAAAACGCAACCTCGGAATTTCCTAAGAAATCCACTTTGCAATTCTTAAGCATAAAAGATTTTAGGCCCCTGGGAATTGAAATCGCATTGCTAATAGATCATATTATTGTTGTTGTACTGTACTTGTAAAATAAAAACTTATTAAATGTGATATTTGTTCATACAAATAGAAGTTATCCTAAATTCCCACGCCCAGAAGACCTTGACCTTGAGAAGACCTTCACCTTGTGTTTTCGATCACGCATCATTAATTCCAGAAATTATACGGTTGTCATGCAAATTACTACAATAGATTCAGGCGGTAAATTTGAATTTGAACTGTAATTAAACAGTTCAGCCGTTTTCCGTTGCTCGTTGTTGGCATCTTAAACGCCTACAAAGAGCGGCTGCGATATATTTATATTGTAATATTGACATTGAGTAGCGTTTCCGTCACTTTTCATTGCATCATTGACGTTTAAACTCCGAAACTAGAAGTACACTCACTGTATGTGTGTATGTTGTTACTGTATGTTTACTTTATCAGTTGTAATGTAGGATAACGAGACGCGTTGAGGTGAAGTATTCTAAAAAGTATTTTTTTCTTTCTCTAGTTGAAGCCTCTTTTTAATCATGCCGGGAACAAAAATTGCGGATGAAGATCGGAAGAAAATCGATAAGAAGTTCATCTGTACCAGTTGTAACATGTTGTTGTGCACTCCCATGCAAACTCAATGTGGACACTTGATGTGTTATGCTTGTCTGCAAACATTGCTAGAGTATGTTGGCTTTCTTTATTTGTATGCCTTAATACTCTTCGCTGCGAAAAATGCAGCTATAGGCCGGTGCAGCGCTCTGGCCAACTGGATGGTTGTCCAATACTGTCGAACGTATACGGATCGTAAAGATGGTAAAACATTGAACACAATCCGTACGGTCCGTACGAACTGTGAAATGGCTTTACGGACCGTACGATCCGTACGGTTTGTGAAAATGATTTACGGATCGTGAACCTACTTTGTCGATAGCGATGTTGTGTTTAAGTCAGGGCATAAAAGTTTGTCGATCCGTACGGATCGTACGGTCCGTACGAACTGTAAAATGGCTTTACGGACCGTACGATCCGTACGGTTCGTGAAGATGATTTACGGATCGTGAACCTACTTTGTCGATAGCGATGTTGTGTTTAAGTCAGGGCATAAAAGTTTGTCGGTCCGTACGGATCGTACGGTCCGTAGGAACTGTGAAATGGCTTTACGAACCGTATGAACCGTACGGTTCGTGAAAATGATTTACGGATCGTGAACCTACTTTCTCCATGGCGGCTATAGATTATAGAATACCCGTCCACTTCTGATACTGTTTATTTTGGGGGGATATGGTGATACGCAGTGAATCATGAAATGACGTAATTATTCGAGTGTTTGGGTTTTTTAAATAAAGGGACTGGGTAAATATTAAGTTTCAATGATACGGGGATACGGTGATACGCAGTGAAGGAAATTACGTAATTATTCGAGTGTTTCGGTATTTAAATAAACGGGGAATCGTTAATCAAATAATTAATCTATATTCTATTTTCAATAATAAGGAGTTATAAATATATTATATTTCTCGTTCTTAAATACTTAATAAACACCGGACAAAATATTACTCATATATTGTATTTCTCGTTCTCAATAAACCCCGCACAAAATATTACTCATATATTGTATTTCTCTACAGTATATTCTATATTTTCAGTACTAAAGGGTTACAAATATACTGTATTTCTCGTTCTCAATAAACCCCTAAACCCGCAAAAAATATTACTCATATATTGTATTTCTCGTTCTCAATAAACCCCGCACAAAATATTACTCGTATATTGTAGTTCTCGTTCTCAATAAACCCCGCACAAAAATTACTCATATATTGTATTTCTCGTTCTCAATAAACCCCGCACAAAATATTACGTATCATTGAAATATAATAGTTACCCACTCTCCTCTTAAACTACTCGAATAATTACGTCATTTTCTTCACTGCGTATCCCCGTATCATTGAAATATAATAGTTACCAATTCTCCTCTTAAACTACTCGAATAATTACGTCATTTTAATGACTGCGTATCCCCGTATCCCCGTATCATTGAAAAATAATAGTTACCCATTCTCCT